AACTACAATGGAGACTATAGATAGTATCATGGGCCCCAGAACCCTGTATTCTATCGCTGTTGATTCGGACTGTTTGTTTGAGGATCTCTGGGTCACAGCCCTTGGTCTGCCCTGGTTTCTTTTTTTTTTCTGGGGGGGGATTAGGGGGGGGGATGGGGGGGGGGTTTAGGGTTTAGGGTTAGTCAGGGGGCTTGCGGGGCGCAGGGTCCAGGTTCCGAGATGTGTGGCTAGGATGGGCTTCTCCAGGCAGATGCTGTAATGCCCTCCTTCAAAGCCTTCAGCTCGACAAGGTCCTTGTTGCGGATATCCTGGCGTCTGAATAGCTACAAATGCTATCCCTCAGGGTCTAGTTCAGTTCAAGGTATAATTCTAGAACGCAGGCACCCAAGACCATGTCCCCGCGGATTGGACGAAAATGTACACGCTATACCACAACCCTGTTCCATATATTTTTGAATGATTTCGACCCCTGCATGGTAGTGGGTCAGGAAGTTCCTGCTTGTCCCCGGGTCCGATACTGTTCCTACCGTTCACGGGGGCTTAGCCGACTAGGCTTAGGACTCTATTTGCGACTATACACCCTGTAGGGCCTAAATTGAGTTGAGTTTGCAAACTTCAAGACTGTTGGAGTGTAGCAGCACACCGACAATCTTCGGAGTCCCCTTATTGTTCTTTGGGGCTCCGAGCTGTGGGGGGCCCCCTGTGAAGGGCAGCTCGAGGTTTCACCCGGAACCCGCAAGACCGAAACACCCTACGCTGCCTAGGACATCATGCATTCTGCTGAGCATTTCACGGCGTACAACGCCGCTTGCCTGGGTTTGAGTGCTATGGTGTATATAGTCTTTTGTGGATGTTGGCCAAGGCCTGCATGATGACGACTAGCCGAACCGGCCCCCAACTACATGGTTCCAACTACATGCACGGAGCGACTACACAAGCTAGAAGTTGATTGCCCTGATGACTCTGACGTCCCTGGGTTGTGGCAGGAACGGAGCAAGCATCCGTACATGGGCGATGCTTCAGTGATCTGGATTTCTAGACTGTTCAACTCCACCACACAGCAACACTGATGATTGGAAACAAAACAGCTGCGATTCAACGCTTCGGTATGATACATGGAAATCTAAGCATAGCAGCCTTTACATTCGCGACAAGTATGGAGTTGCAGTTGTTAACCGTTCCTGGACAGCTGCATGCCGGCAGTTTCGCCGAGAGAGCATTTACGGGTTTAGGGTTTAGGGTTACCCCTGCTGGGAACTTGCTTTTTTTAGACCTCCTCATTGGGAGGTCCCCCACGACCCAACACAAACAAGCCTACTGAAATTGAGCGACCGAGTTTTGAACCTCAGCTCTCGCCGTACTTCGGAAACCTAAATCCCAAACCCAAACCCTCAACCCTCGGCCCTGAATCCTAAGCCCCCACTACAAGAAAAGCACGAGCCTTCAAAACTTCTGTCACGGACCCATGCACCTAGCTGCTGCGTACGCAATGGACCCTTTAGGAAAGCACGCTTAGATAGCACACACCCTTGGGTCGAAGTGGGAGGTTCAAGCGGTGTAGGATTTAGCAGCGTTTCGGGACAAGAAGGGCCCTCATATCGACCTTGACGAATGCTGGGAGGGTCTTTGTCATATTGCCTCCTGCCCAAAAATGGCACTGCTCTACTTTTCAAAGCCCTGCATGTTTGCTTAACAAGTTTCGCCGATTACTTCAAACCAAGTTTTGCACGTGCTTTGAAAAGAAGACACACTCGAACGTGTGAGCCGACGTCGAAGGGCTGTTCGGTTCAGGGTTTCGAACTGGGGGGGGGCTTTGTGTGGTTCTGAACTTTGGCGTCACTTCTCCGGATCTTTAGACTGAAAAAGGCCTTGATAGTTAGAATAGGGTTTGGGGGTATACTATACAGTAAGTATAATTAACAAGGAACCTCCAACATAGTATAAGTAACTATTAAGGCCTCTACATTCGAGGCTCTAGAGCTTAACTCGCGGGCCTCAGGGCTTAAAACAAATGAGGGCTTCAAGGTTGGGTTTAGGGTTTAGGGTTCTAGGTCGAGAGTGTAGTGGTTTCGTTATTTTTCAAGAAGCAACACCAAAACCATATTATGAGGGCTTAGGGTTAGATTTTAAACCACCTCCTTGTATGTTTGGGGCTTAGAGTACGGTCGACAAACCACATGCAAAGCAAATACCGGTATACTCATAGGCTATCAAAAGGCCTGGTTAAGGATTCAGGGGTTCTGGGGGGTGTCCCTATTGTCGGCTTCTGCTTTTCATTTTGTCTGTAGGACAAGCACCTGTCACGTAAAGATTGTCGGCGATCCTCAGAGATTTGCTCTTCGCCGGCAATTCTCAGATCCCAACCGGCAGCATTTTGGCCGCTCCATTTAATAAGAGTGGTGTACTCCTGTGCAGAACCGTCTAAGCCGGAGGCAGAACATGAAAGCAGCGACTGGTCCTGTGCCAGATGAACCAGCTATTCCCCGACTTCTTTCTACATTTATACATATATACATACTTGCATACATACATACATACATACATACATACATACATACAAACATACATATATACATATAAGCATATGTATATATATATATATACACATGTAAACATCTATGTGTATATATATATATATATGTATATATATATATGTATATATATATATGCGGTAGTAAGAGTGATATGTACTGAACATGCCCAGGTCGCTCTTACATGAACCCCGAAGCTATGTGCCGAGGACAGTAACGATGGGGCTCTCTTCTGGAGCGGCGTGGTGCGCAGACTGAGCCGCTTGGATCAAAAGCTAGCACAACTCAAGAAATGGGAGTCTAGGGTTTAGGGTTTAGGGTCCTTCTTTTAGGGGCTTAGGGTTTAGGGTCCTTCTTGAAGGGGCTTTGGGTTTAGGGTCCTTCTTTCAGGGGCTCACGAGCTTCTTTTCAGGTATAGGGGAGCTCTTTGGGGTTCAGGCTTTGGGGGAGAGGATGGTCTGAGGGTAGCTGCTAGGTGTGCAAGCTATTACGTTGAGCAGCTCTGCCCCCTGTCTTGTCCACCACTGCTTTGATGAATCCACGCTTGGCAACTGTGGTTGTCAGGCCTCGATACCGGCACAACACGTGAAGCTGCAGAGAGTGCGACCGATCATGACTGGTCTTCTTGCGGTCTTTCGTTCTGATTGAGTGCTGCTGCCATGAATTGTGCCGGGTATATGCCTGCTAGTCTGCCGCCCACACTACCGTGTCGATGGCAGCAACGACGACGACAACAGTCTGGCATCATGGTTCCGAGTACTACTTCTACTACTCCTACTCCTACTCCTACTCCTACTCCTACTCCTACTACTACTACTACTACTACTACTACTACTACTACTATTACTACTACTCCTATACCCGTCGGACTGCATCATTCCATTTCCCTTGCGCGTTGCA